ATTTCTCTCCTCTCCTCCCTCTTTCCCTCTGTCTCTTTCTGTCTCCCACTTTCCTTTGTTCTCTCTCTCTCCTGTCTCTCTCTCTCTCCTCTCTGCCCCGCTCTCTCCTCCCTCTATCTCGCTCTCTTTTACCTTTCTCTCCTTTACTCTCTCTCTCCTCACTCTCCCTATCCTCTTGTTCTCTTTCTCCTCTTCTCCCTCTTTCTTTCTCTTCCATATTCTCCTTCTCTACCCCCCTTCTTTCCCTCTATATCTCCCCTTTCTTTCTCCTTTACCCCATCTTTCTTTCTCTCCCTCTTCCTTCTTGCTGTTTCTCTCCTCCTCCACTTTCTCTTCTATCCCTTCTCTTCTCCCTAATCCCTCCCTTTTTCTCTCTCTTTCTCACTCTCTTTCTATAGGCCTCTTTCCTTCTCTCTCTCCCTCTCCTCTACTTCATTTTTCTCTCTCCCTCTTCCTTCCTGCTGTCTCTCTCTCCTCCTCTCTCTCTCTCTTCTATCTCTTCTCCCTAACCCCTCTCTATCTCTCCTCTTCTCTCCTCCCTCTTCTCTCTCTCTTTCCCTCTGTCTCTTTCTGTCTCCTTCTCTTTTTCCCCCCTCTACTTCATCTCTCTCTCCCTCTTCCTCTCTTACTTCTATCTCTTCTCTTCTCCATAACCCCTCTCTATCTGTCTCCTCTCCTCCCTCTTCTCTCTCTCTTTCCCTCTCTGTCTTTCTGTCTCCTTCTTTCCTTCTCTCTCTCTCCTTCTCCCTCTTCCTTCCTGCTGTCTCTCTCTCTCCTCCTTTCTCACTTCTATCTCTTCTCTTCTCCATAACCCCTCCCTAACCCCTCCTCTCCTCCCTCTTCTCTCTCTCTTTCCCTCTGTCTCTTTCTGTCTCCCTCTTTCCTTCTCTCTCTCCGCTCTTCCCTCTTCTTCATGTTTCTCTCTCTCCCTCTTCTTTCCCTCTTTCTCCCTCTCTAGCCTCCTTCCCTCTCTCTCCCTCCATCTTTTCTTCTCTCTTCTCTTTCTCCTTCACTCTTGGTCTTGTTTTGGTGCAGAGCAGTAAAAGTTCAAGTGTGTTAGAAGCCGCTGAGCAAAGCACTTTTCCTCTGGTCCAGTGAAATGAATCGTAGCTCAGAGTGACGCTGTTCTAGTCCAGACGAGGTTGGTTGGAGTCAGATTCCCTCTCACACACTGGACTTTACCAGGAAAGTCCAAACACACAAATATTGACCCTGATCATTTCTGTTGGTGACAAAACCCAAGAGCTCAGCGTGTGACGACACAAACCTGCGTTAGAACAAAAGTAGATCATGTTTCTGCCCTCGCCGTGTCTGTGTGACGTGTGACGAGCCTCCAGAGAGTTACACGTGTTACCTGAAACCCACTCCGGTTTGAGTCCTGACTTAGACTTTAGTTTGGTCCTGCTCTAGTCCTGGTTTGGTCTTGTTTTAGTCCTGATTCAGACCTGGTCTAGTCCTGGTCTAGTTTCAGTTTTAATTCCTAGTGACATCCTGATATAGACTTTGGTTTGGTTCTGTTTTAATCCTGTTTTACTTCTGGTTTAGACCTGGTTTAATCCTGGTCTAGTCTTGGTTTAGGTTCAGCTTCAGTCTCAGTTAAGTCCTGATATAGACTTTGGTTTGGTCCTGGTCTAGTCTTGGTTTAGACGTGGTTTACTCGTGTTATAGTCTTATAGTCCTGGTTTAGTCCTGGTTTAGACCTGGTTTACTCGTGTTATAGTCTTATAGTCCTGGTTTAGACCTGGTTTAGTCATGTTATAGTCCTGGTTTAGTCCCAGTTAAGTCCTGGTGTTTAGTCCTGATGTAGACATTTGTTCAGTCCTGGTCTAGCCCTGTTTTTAGTCCTGGCCTAGTCTTGGTTTAGGTTCAGCTTCAGTCTCAGTTAAGTCCTGATGTAGACTTTGGTTTGGTCTGGCTTAGACCTGGTTTAGTCCTGGTTTATTCCTGGTCTAGTCGTGTTTTAATCCTGGGTTAGACGTGATGTAGTCCTGGTTTAGACCTGTTCTCGTCCTGTTCTAGTCCTGTTATTGTCCTGGCCTAGTCCTGGTCTAGTCCTGGTCTAGTCCTGTTTTAGTTCTGGTCTAGTCTTGGTTTAGTTTCAGTTTGGTCTGTAGGACGGTTTACTGTAACTTGACGTCTGTTTCATAGTTTTGTGTTTATATAATCTCATGTTTTATGCTTTGAAATTAAACACTGATTCACTTTTGCCATGGAGATATTATTGCTTAAAGAATGTTCCAACATATGGCATTAAACAGATCTGTCTACTGGTCATTTATGAAAATGTGCATCCTTACTGTGTGGCCTCTCCATAGATCAGACGTGTAACTCTGGTCTGGTTGTGCTGTTTGTTTTCATGGAGACAGATCAAGTTCATTTCATTCCTGGACGACTGAGGGATTTTACCGACTTAATTTCATACTGTGGAACTTTCTTGGCAAAGCCGTGACATCTCCTAGGAGACAGTCAGCTCCTCCATCAGTAAAGTTACACAGTGCTCCTTTAAACTTTGTCCTGGGGTTTGTTTTATGTGGACCAGCTCAGAATTACACAGATATGAACCATGACTAGGTCAATAAATGTGGTCTAGTTTTGGTTTAGTCCTGGTCTAGGACTGGTCTGGTTCTGGTCTGGTCCTGGTCTGGTCCTGGTTTAGTCCTGGTTTGAGCCCAGATTAGTCATAATTTAGGTTTTCGTTTTGGTCCTGGTCTAATCCTGGTTTGATCCCTGGTTTGAGCCTAGTTTAGTCCTGATGTAGACTTTTGTTTGGTTGGGGTCTAGTCCTGGTCTAGTCTTGATTTAGTCCTGGTTTGAGCCCAGTTTAGTGCTAATGTAGACTGTTGTTTGGTCCTGGTCTAGTCCTGGTCTAGTTTCATCATTAGTGTTAGTTTAGTCCTACCTTTGGTGTTGTAGATGTAAATTTAATCCTGGTTTAGTCCTGGCTTAGTCCTGGGTTAATCCTGGTTTAGTCCTGGCTTAGTCCTGGTTTGAGACCAGTTTAGTCCTAATGTAGACTTTTGTTTGGTTGAGGTCTAGTCCTGGTTTAGTTTCAGCTTTAGTTCCAGTTTAGTCTTAATCTAGGTGCTGTATATGTAAGTGTAGTCCTGGTTTAGTCCTGATTTAGTCCTAGTTTGACCCTGGTTTAGTCCTGGTTTGATCTCTGGTTTAAGCCCATTTTTGTCCTGATGTAGACTTTTGTTTGGTCCTGTTCTAGTCCTGGTCTAGTCCTGGTCTAGTCCTGGTCTAGTCCTGGTCTAGTCCTGGTCTAGTCCTGGTCTAGTCCTGCTTTAGTCCTCACCTTGGTGCTGTATATATAGGTGTAAACACATCCTCTGAGGATTATGATGGATGTCAGAACTTTCTCTTTTACCTTTTAATTGTTCCGTTTGTGATCTGCTGCAGAATCAGACCCACGTCCAGCTCCGTTTTACACAACCGCCCCTTTAATGCTGTCGCCACGTCAACCACAACTCTACCTAAAGCTCCACACTGTTACATTATTTTATTTTATAGCTGACAGTTTGTCAGAGTGTTTTCTAGATTCTCCACAGGTTGCTAGTTTGGTTCCCACACCCACCAATGCATGTGTTGTGTCATTGAGCAAGACACTTTTCTGCTTTGTTTCCAGTGTCTGAATATTAGAGACGTAAACAAATGTGGCCGTAAATCTGTTTTATATTTCCACATATTGCATCCAATCTTAAATCTGTGCTCATGTTGAAGAAAAAATAAAATGTAAAACTATTATTGCTGTTGCCATAGCAATTAACAATTTAATAGTGAATATTTTCATGGTGTAGTTCACTCAAAATGGAGCCGAGAAACTAAAGCTAAAACTCACGAATAAAATGTTGTGTGTTATCCGCCACCTGCTGGTCCCATAGAGATGAGAGTTAAAGGTGCATTGTGTAACTTTTCACCTGCTTGTTTCTATGGAGATGTCACTGCTCTGACTGGAATGTTCCACAGTGTGACATTAAACAGTTCTACTTTACATTTATTCACTTACAGGTGGTTTTATAGCTCAAATATACCTTAAAACACAAACATTCTGACTGGGAGCGGGGTCGGCCTCTCCACAGATCTGACCTGTAACTCGGCCTGGTTTGGTCTCCATGACGATAAAAAGGTTTAACGCCATACACAGCAGAAACTGGAGGGTTAAAATTTCAGGATAAACATATTTCAGAGTTGTTTTTAACACCAAAAGTGGAATTTTAACTTTAAAATTTGAAAGTTAAATGGGGGTTCGAGTTCATATTAATTCTACTTCCTTTAGTGTTAATTTGGCTCCTCCCACCCACCACTTCAACCTCCAGTGAGAAAAGACCAGTTTGAACCAGTTTTGTGCATAATTTCATCTTAAATTAACTCAAATAAAGTGTAAAATTGTAAAAATAAGACATCTCTGTGTGTTGTTGCGCTAAATCAGGATAACTCTACAAAGTGTTATCTGTTTACTCTCAAAACATTAATATAACTCTTTTTTGGGGGGTTAAACAGGAACTTTGGTCAAGTGTTACTTAATTAACATATCCAAAAAATGTAAAATTAACTCTAAACCATGAGAAAATGTTCAAACTGATTCTGTGAGAGTAAATTTTAACACTCCACTGTGAAACATTCGAGACAAAACAATAACATCTCCAAAAGAAAAACATTTGGCCGACGTTCCAGCAGAAAAGTCACACAATGCACCTTTAACCACCAAACTCCAGCTGAGAATTGCAGCGTGTGCTCGAGCTTTATTATATGTTTTACACAATAGTTTACAGTGCAGCGTTGCCACGTGAACCACAACTACACACATAAAGTTCCACATTGTAACATTATTTTATAGCTGACAAAGTTTGCCTGTAGTCTCATCTTATCTCCTCTGCAGTGTTGTGAATGTCAAAACACAAATAAGCCTGTAGTCTTCCCCTCTTTCTCTCCGTGTGACATTTCCGAAGCTGTAACTGCTCACGAGAGACGCCATTTTTCACACTTTTTATTCGGCATCTGACATCCACTGGTACAATAAATCAAACGCAAATGGCACACACCTCTAAGAAAACGCCAACACCGCGATGGAGTTGCATGCAGAATGACAATGTTTTATCTTTGTTTTTTTTTAAATTATTTTTCCATCTCTCATTTTTTTTTCTCTTTTGTTGTCGTTCTTTCTTGCTCTCTTTCTTTCTTTCTTCCCGACGACGACTGCGGCTTTGGTTCAACTGTCCTCTTCTTCGTCCTCTTCTCTCCTCCGATCTCCGAGGAAGGCCGGAAAACTTGGAAAAATCATACTCAAAAGAAATCTCTACTTCAGCAGGCTGGTTCGTGTGTCGTGTTGGTTGTGCATTCGTGTGTGTGTGTAAGTTATGGAATCTGTATTTTGTGTTAGAGTTTTAGCGAAGCATCGGGAGAAAGTCGTTTACATGTGTTTTAAAGACTCGTCCGACCACCAGAAATTACATCTTTGTCATGAACATACAATAGTCTGAGCACACTGTGAGCATCGTCAGAATGTTACATGGTAGTTCTTGGTCAGTCATGGATTCAAATGGTTAAAAGTGAGAAAAGTTATGTTTATTCTAACGTGTTGTCTTCAATGGTGAGGAATTGGCATCCATTCTCTTAATAGTTTAGGGAATTTTCAAACTTCTGGATGTGGTATGGCTGTAATGCCCCAAGAATTGTTCTCCCTGAAAGAAATGGTAGAGTAAAATATATTAACTACAGATAGAACCTGCTTTACTGGCTCTTGCATCAAATTTAAGCTGGAATTTCTACTGATATAAGCATTAAAAATACTCAAATTATCAAGAAATGCTAAGTAGATATGTATGCGTTTTTCGTTAATTCTTATAAGCATTCGTGTCAATTTCAAAATTTGTAAAGCCATGCATTAAAAAGGTTTCTGACTACAGGGATTATAGATGCAAATTCATGGGGCATTACAATCAAAAAACCATAAACATCGTCAAAATAGGAGAGAGAAATTAAATTAAATTAAAAAATATGAGTGTTTTTTGTTTGTTGATGGTAGAAAAAAAAGGAAAAAAATTACGAAAATAAAATGGTAATGAGGAAATAAAGCCTGGAATTTTTTTTGTTAAAAGCAAATTATTTTTTATTCACACAAATTTTTATATATAACAACCGTTTGGTCCATAAATATTTAAGAGGGGATTTCGTATACACCATTTTTTTTGTATCAAGAAACAGGGAAAAACATGGACAATCTTGATAAACACTGTACCCAACTATTAACATGAAAATCCATAGAATTCTGGGCTAGTTTTGAAAGAGTGCAACCTGACATCGCTGCCCCCTGTGGCCACTCTCGTAACAGCATCACACCAGGAAGAAGAGAAAAAAAAAAAGAGAGTTCAAAAGTAAAATTGCAAAAAAAAAAGTACAATTCTAGTGAGGCGAAAATGTCGTAACAGAGAACATATAATCCTGAACTTTCTCCCAAGGTTAGCATTAAGGCACATAGTATAGAAGTGAGATAGGCAACATCGTCCAGTCGAGAATTTACAATTTTCCAGCCAAAATATAACGTTTTTTTGGTTTTGTTTAGTGGCAAAAACAATAAAATGTAAAACGAAGATGATTTTTTTCAATTTTTTTCAACTAAAAATATCTGAGGTTAGATTTCCAGCTCAAAACCTTTGCAGCACTAAGTCCCTTGTTTTTCACATTTTTACCCTGAGCAAAAAAATATATCAAAAAATTCAAAATAAAAAAAATAAAATTCTGGGCAGGATGTCGTGCAGCTATGAAAAAAAATGTACCGGTAAGTCAGTTTGATTTTTTTTTCTTTTTTAAACAGTGCCCAGATTTGATCAAAATTTTCAAATTATTTTCAAATTTTCTTGACTGAATTGACAATTTTTCCTCACAGTTGCGTATAGCGATTTTCACATATTGTTCTTGACTAAAAACATTCAAAAAGGATTCAAAGTTGAGTTTTACAGCACATTCTACATAAGCTTCCCTAAATGATTTCAAAACAGAACAAAATCCTTAAATTTATAGTGCTAACACAGTGCATACAATTACAGATTTCAAAAATATTCAGAATAATTTTATAAGATTTCTCGATTTTAAACCATAAATTAGGAAGGGCTCTGTACAAATAAAGCCAGCTAAAATATTTAAATTTTTTCCCAAACAAGCTTCAAGTTTAGAGTGAGTCCATGACGATGATTAAAACTGTCCGTCTGTCTGGAAATGGGAGTAATAAAGTCATAAAAAAAGAAAACAAAAACAAAAAAAACTACAAAGATGGCTGCCGTGCACTTCCAAAAATGCTACAGTTTTTAAAAGGATTCCAATGTGGCTGCGTCCTCGTGCACAGAACAGCTCTGTCTCTGTCTCGGCTGGATTCAAGAAAGAAAATTAAAGGTCCTGTATGACACTTTTTTCTGTTCTAATGTTGTTTTTTTCGTCACAAAACAGACCTGGAGTTGTGCTTTTTTGTTTCATTCACACATGTTTAACGCACAAACCTGCACATTTACGCCGAGTTCTTCTCTCAAATTGAAAAAACTCTGTTCCACTTTGTGACATCATCGAGTGGCGACACAGGACATGCTTTTCAGGAGGTGTTTTTAAGCTTTATACACTTTCACTAGAATCATTTGGATAATTTTAGCTCTGGAATTGCAAATCCGTACTAAACTAAAAAATAAGAAGTAGCTGTTAACTTGAAAACCACCACTTCGTGACATCACAAGGTGGAGCAGAGCATTTAGAGCTTTGGAGATGTAAACAAACTAATCATAAAGAGTTACTGAAACGTGTGTGAATGAAACAAAACACCAAGTCCAGGTCTGTTTTTGAGCCGATAACAACATTAAAACAAGTCTTAAAGCTCACAAGAGTCATTTTTGTGTAATACAGGATCTTTAAAAAAAAATAAAAAATTAAATAAAAATCAGAAATCGTCGGTTTGGAGCTGGTTAGAAAAGGTTGGTGAGAGTAGTCTGTGATGGGCTCCCCGAATCGTGGCTGTCCAAACTAGAGGTGACGGAGGTGACTACAGTGATAGAGGGATTGGTCAGGTCTGTTAGTGTGGCAGCGCTGGTGGGCGGAGTTAGGGCCCCGCTGTCGGAAGAGGGCGGAGCTAGAGAGGAGCCATCCGCCTTATCAACGCCATTCTCCTGCCGCAAAACGTTTCTTCTGAATTTGGCTCGTGCATTTTGGAACCAAACCTGCAAACCAATCCGAATGTGGTCTTTTACTGTTTTTGGTCAAATTAACGACAAAAGTACAAATCAGGACTACTGTATACTACTACTACTACTACTACTACTACTACTACTACTACTACTACTACTACTACTACTACTACTATAACTGCTACTATAGGCCTGTCATGATAATTACTATGGGTTTTAACACATGAGAGATGGGGCAGTTACTTTTAGTTGCCAATATTTATCTTGAATACTTTTTTTTTTTTTTGCAGTAGTGAGGAGATTTTTGACATTTTTCTGTACTTTGATAAGATTTGAGCCGTAAAAGGGTAAAGGTGCACTATGTAACTTTTCTGTCAGATGTTTTTTTTTTCCATGGAAATGTCATTGCTTTGTCTGGAATGTTTCGCAGTATGGCATTAAACATTTCTGTCGTCACGGACACCAAACCAGACCAAGTTACAGGTCAGATTTGTGATTTTTTATGTGTTTTTTGAGCTATAAAATCACCTGTAACTGAATAAATATAAAGTAGAGCTGTTTAAAGTCATACTGTGGAACATTCCAGCCAGAGCAATGACGTATCCATAGAAACAATCATTCGACGAACCTCAAAGCAAAAAGTTGCACAGTGCAGCTTTACATAAATAACTCCTATGGGCTGATTTGTTTTTCGTTTGTTAAAGGTGCACTGCGTAACTTTGCTGACAGGGTGTCCACGTATGACAGTTTCCATGGCGATGTCATTGCTTTGGCAGGTTCCACAGTATGGCTTTATAGTTAAAGACGCTGCATTTATGAAATTACAGGTGGGTTTTATTGCGCAAAAACAGCTTTCAAAACATGTAGTCTTATTGAATGTGGGCTCGCCTCTCCACAGATCTGACCTGTAACTTGGCCTGGTGCTGTCTCCAGGCGTAAATAATAACATCACCATGGAAACAAAGCACCAGAAAAGTTACGCAATGCACCTTGACGTACAGAATCAAAATGGAAATCTTGCTTTAGTTTTTTCACGTCAGTTAGAAATAGTTTGAATTTTTAATTTTTTTTTTAATTGGATTTCAAAATCTGTTATCGTGACAGGCCTAATCACTATAACAGAAATTTGCAAATTGAGGGCCAGTTATCGTAAAAATTGACAAAACATGAATGCGGATTCGGTTAACAAATCCAGTGCATTCTCTAAACAAAACCTGCACTCTTTTTTTTTTTTCTTGACAAAAACTATTTAACAGCATAAAACTGTACAAAACTTCATATTTTCAAACATAAAACTCCAAGAATGATTACGGCTTTGCACTTTTTGACTGTAAATTCTAAAAAATACAAGATCATTCTACAATTTTATCACAAATATAAACATAAAGAGCCCAAGAAAAGTGACGGATTTGAATTGCAAATCCCCCAAAGAAACCTTCAAACCAAGTCATATCTGTGCACTCTTTTGCGTTCTCGATTATCTAGAAGGTTACGTTAAATGGACCAAGTGAAGCGAAAACAAAAGTATGATGGTTTGAGATGGCTGGTGATGGGCGGTGCATGCTGGGACGTGGAAGGGAGTAGCAGAGTGGTTAGCGTCTTACCTGTAGAACTCTTTTGGTGAGGCCTGTTTTCTGGGCCAGCTGTTTGAGGTCCTTGGCGTCCGGGTTGTGGTTGATGGCGAAGTAGGATTTCATGGTGCGGAGCTGGTGATGCTTGAAGGAGGTGCGCATGCGTTTGGTCTTCTGTGTGGGGGGGTACGCCTGCTCGCGGTCCAGGTGCTCGCTGTCGTTCTCGTTACAGCCTGCGGGGGGGAGAAAACACACATGAATTATGGGTTTTATTTAGTGTTTTGTCACGGCACTAATGTTTCAGATTGTTTCGTTTGTTAAAGGCGCGGTGCGTAACTCTATTTCTATTTTTAATTTTGACTTGTACATGTACATTTATATAATTCTGCCTTATTTGACACACGTCTCTTGCTCTTTTTTTTATCTGGTATCCGTGGAGAAAGAAAACACAGATGAATTATGGGTCTTATTTAGTGTTTTGTCCTGATATTAACATTGCAGATTGTTTCATTTGTTCGTTTGTTAAAGGTGCACTGCGTAACTTTGCAGATGGAGTGTCCACGCCTGTCTCCATGGAGATGTTATCGCTTTGTCTGACAGGTTCTACAGTCTGGAATATACTACACGTAGGGCGACAGTTCAGTTTGTAGTGTGTTTGTCCACTGATCTGAAGGTTAGTGGTTCAAATCCGGCTCTTGACATAAACTTCACGTGTTTTTGTAGTTTTTTTTTTTCATCCCATTTTCATTTATATAATTCTGCCTTATTTGACACACGTCTCTTGCTCTTTTTAAAACAAAATCTGGTATCCATGGAGAAAGAAAACACAGATGAATTATGGGTCTTATTTAGCGTTTTATCACGATACTAACATTTCAAATTGTTTCGTTTGTTTGTTTGTACTGCTTAACTTTGCAGATGGAGTGTCCACACATTTATTATCTCCATGGAGATGTTATCGCTTTGTCTGGCAGGTTCCACAGTCTGGCATTAAATACTCAGCAGCTCAGTTGGTCGAGTGTTTGTCCACTGAGCTGAAGGTTGGCAGTTTGAATCCCACTCTTGACATGAACATCATTGGTTGAGCGTCAAATCCACTGACCCACAGGTTGGTCGGTGTGATTCCAGCTCCCACAGATGAATGTTGTTGTTGTGTCCTTGGGCAAGACACTTCACCACCTCGCCTCTTGTGTCTGTGTGCACTGGTGTGTGAATGTGTGTGGTTCCTTGTTTGTAAAGAGCTTTAAGTGTCTTAAATGTGGAAAAGCGCTGTAGAAAAATGTGACCATTTATTAAATTACAAGTTGTTGTTTTTTTTGTTTATTTGATTTTTTTTTTATGGAGAAAGAAAACACAGATGAATTATGGGTTTTATTTACTATTTTGCCACAATACTAACATATCAAATTGTGTTGTTTGTTAAAGGTGCACTGTGTAACTTTGCAGATGTTGTGTCCAAGTATGATTGTCTCCATGGAGATGTTATTGCTTCTCTAGGCATGTTTCAGGTTTTTTTTTTTTTTTCCATTTTTTGGAATCACGGACGAATTATGGAATTTATTTAGTGTTTTGTCACAATAGTGTTTCAGATTGTTTGGTTTGTTAAAGGTGCTCTGATTGTCCATGGAGATGTGATCAATTACACATGTTTTTGTTTTGTTTTTTTGCACAAAAATGGCTCATTACAACCTCTGGACAACGAAAACACAGATGAATTATGGGTTTGATTTTGTGTTTTGTCGAGATACTAGCATGTATTAAAGGTGCACTGCGTAACTTTGCTGGAGACATGTGATCGTCTCCATGGAGATTTTATTGTTTTCACTGCAAAAAGCAAAATCTATGTAAGTTCAAACGACTTAAATTAAGAACATTTTACTTCATTTTACTTGTCAAGTTGAATTTACTCAAATAATTCAAGCAACATTGTGCAAACACTTGTTTTAGAAAGATGTATTTTCATATTTGAAGTAGAAAAGCTTTTGAGAATTTGAATTTGAGAGTGAACTTTGATTAATTCAAGTCACCTTAACTTGGCTTCATTTGTTTGTGCAGTGTTGCTGGGCAGGTTCCACAGTCTGGCATTACCTTTAAATATACTGCATTTTTATTAAATTACTCGTGTTTTTTGCTCAGAAATAGTTCATTACAGCCTGTGGAGGAAGAAAGTATAGAAGAATTATGTTTTTTATTTAGTATTTTGTCATGATACTGAAATTTCCAACTTGATTTTGATACTAAAGACTTGACTTGATTCTCAAAACTGACTCTGATACCATGACAATAATTAAAAAAACACTCTTTCTTTAGACAATAGAATATGATTTTCTACATTAAATAGTAGAACTTTCTTTTCTATTCCATTTTCTCTTCTACTTGTTCTGATCGAGCTCAAGATGATTTAAAAGCTTGAGGAAAGGCTCATTTTTGTCCTGTAAATGTGACTTTTTTAGTATCGATACCTGTGAAAAATGAAGATCTAATTTCAGTTCTTGTTTTAGTATCGATTTGAATCTGATTTAAAATGAAAATACGCTATTTGCTGCAGTGAAATTCCACTCTGAAGAAATCAGGGCCTAACACTTCTACAATTTTGAACAGGAAGTCAGTGAACATGTTTCTATTATGAAGCTGTTTTCGATCGATATTTCAGATTGCAATGAACAAAATACCAATTAATCTACATATGTTATAGTTTATACTAAATAAAAACACTGACTTCTTGTTCAGAATTGTAAAACTGACTGACAAAACTCTTATTGGCAATTCACCAAAGCAGCCAGCACATTTTCTTTCTCTTGTTTTAATGGTTGAAAAATGACTATGTGACATTTTTAACCCTACGTAAATGACCAAGAGCTTCTGAATGTTTAGAATAAATGCAAGTAGGTACAACTAGGAGCTGTGGGTGGGGATAGGGGGTGAGTGAAAACAGAAATGATGTGAGCGCTGGAGTCTTAAATGCAAAACACACAGGATCAGTCAAACGCATGAATCACTGAAACACAATCCTGACTTAATGACAAGGGAGCGCTCTTATAGTCTGCTTACAAGCTCGTAAAAGTCATGGATCTGGTTTGGTCTTCTTCTAGTCCTGGTTTAGTCCTGGATCGGTCCTGGTTTAGTTCTGGTTTAGTCCTGGTCTAGTCTTGGTCTAGTCCTACTTTAGTCCAGCTTCAGTTCCGAGTTTAGTTCTTTTTTAGTTAAATTTTGGTCCTGGTCTAGTTCTTGTTTTGCTTCAGTCATGAGTTTATTCCTAGTCCTGGTTTAGTCCTGGTCTAGTCCTGGTCTAGGTTTGCTTCAGTCCAAGTTTAGTCCAGTTTAGTCCTCGTTTAGTACTGGTTTAGTCCTTGGTTTAGTCCTCATCTAGTTCCGGTCTAGTCCTTCTGTCCTGAGTTTTGTCCTTTTTTTAGTCCTGCTCCAGTCCTGATCTAGTTCTGGTCTAGTCCTGGTTTAGGCCGGCTTCAGTCTGGGTTTAGTCCGGGTGTAATCCTGATTTAGTCCTGCTCCAGTCCTGATCTAGTTCTGGTCTAGTCCTGGTTTAGGCCGGCTTCAGTCTGGGTTTAGTCCGGGTGTAATCCTGATTTAGTCCTGCTCCAGTCCTGATCTAGTCCTGGTCTAGTCCTGGTTTAGGCCGACTTTATTCCGGGTTTAGTCCGGGTGTAGTCCTGGTTTAGTCCTGTTTCATTCTGCGTCAGTCCTGATTTAGTCCTAGTCTAATCCTGGTCTAGTCCTGGTCCTACTTAAGTCCTGGTCTAATCCTGGTCCTTCAGTCCTGGTCTAGTCCTGGTCTAGTCCTGGTCTAGTCCTTGTCCTACGTCAGTCCTGGTTTTATATCCAGTGTGAAAGTGTGCACAGAGCCTGTCTGTTTTTTTTTTTTTTTTTTTTATAGGTTACCACATTATTTTGAAATGTGAGTGTTTTCAGATTTCAGATGAAGCAGTGGCCAATGTTCGTTTATGGTTTAGGCAACTTTTTAATCAAAAATTGTTCCACAAAAGTCCACAAATGTTGAACGGACTTGACCACAAATGTAAAATTCCTTTGTAATCAAATGAAACAAGTGCCACATTTTGGTGCTATAGTAAAAAACACATTTTGCCGTTGTTTACTAATCAAAACACTTCTCTTTTTTTTTTCTTTTTTTCCCATAGTCCCTTTAATTCTAGTCGCATTAATGATGAATCAGGTCAAACATCTGTATTCTCACTTTTGTAATTACCACCGCTAAAAGTTCAGACATCGTGTGAACAAAAGCTATTGTCTAGACGCTAAAAAGGAGCTTTTGTGGAGGTGGAGCGGAGCTTTCACAATGGCCCATATAAATGACGTTATTGTTAATTACTAAAAGGTTTCAGACGAACCAAACGGGACACAACATAATATCATCAAAAATAGAATTTGGATGCTACACACAAATCAGCTGACAGCAACAAAAACGAAGGCCTGTTAAAAGAATTTGATCATATTTTAACAATTTAGAGTAAAGTCACATTTTTGAGCAGCAGTTAAGTTAAAAAGTCAGAGTTAAAATATAGTGTTGATGTAAATAATGCTAAAATAAAAAAAAGTGTTCATTCCACTAAGTCACCTTCTCTGTGAATGAACAAACTGCAACAATGTTCAAAAATATTAAGGCCTGTTCAAGGAATTTGATCACGTTTTAAAAGTCCTGGTCGAATCCTGCTTCAGTTCTGAGTTTAGGTCCAAGTTTATTCCTGGTCTAGTCCTGGATTAGTTCTGGTCTAGTCCTGGTTTAGTCTTGGTCTAGTCCTGGTTTAGTCTTGGTCTAGTCCTGCTTCACTCTCAAGTTTAGTCCTGGTCTAGATCTGGTCCTGGTCCATTTTAATATTGTAAAGTAAAATTATTTGAATAGTGGTAAAATATAAAGTGAAATAGTCCAAGTTTAAATTAAAATATTGTGTTGACATTAACTCAGAGACTGATCATTAAAATTACATTTTTCAGTATTTTTCTTTTTTTTTTTTTTTTTTTTTACAATTTGGAGTTTGGACAGTGCTGCAGGACTTCTTTGGTAGAAACTGTGATCTGAATTTACTTTTGGATCATTTTTTATATGAAAGCTGTTCAGTTCGTTTCAGAAACATCAGCGTGTATTCAAATGACTCTGACCATTCTCTTCAGATGAAATACTATAGATATAAAAACTGTTCTACCAGTTCTTTCTGTGAATCCTCAGTTAAACTAAATATTCTTATTCTGTTTTTATGATTTGAAGTCTGGACAATGTTGAACAATGATTTCTTTTTACTGAATTTCAATTTAAATCCACTTCTAGATCATTGAGATGATGCAGGTGCTTCAGTTCATTTCAGAAACACCTTGAAACAATACACAAGTCAATGTGGATTTAAATGACTCTGACCATTCTCTTCATATCAAATATTATATATATATATAAACATTTCTATATGTTCTCTAAGTGAATCCTTATTTAAACTAAATATTCAATTTTTTTTAATGATTTGGTTGCACGATTCATTTCAAAAACATCTCTGAACTAAACAAAAGTCAGTATGTGCTGAATACTGTATATACTACACTACTACTACTACTATATAATATTATATACATAAAACCTCGCCTCTGTTAATCTCATTTAAACAAAATCTTCAATTTTTTTTTTTTTACGATTTCAAGTTTCTTTGTATGACATTTTTCAGATGATGCAGGTTGTAGTTTTTTCCAGAACATCTCTCCAGAAAAACTAAAGTCAGTGTGTATTGAATGAACATTATAAAAATTATATATATAAACTGTGCTAAAGCTCCTGTACGTGAAACCTCATTTAAATGAAATATGATCATTTTTTTCACAACTTGAAGTTTCGTTGTATTACAGTTTTCCAGTTATGCAAGTTCCAGTTTATTTCTAGAAATCAGTTTGTACTTAAATGACCATGACACTTATGTTAATATGAACAACTATATGTATAAAAAGGGCTAAACCTCCTATATGTGAATCTTATTTAAAAGAAATATTCAAATATATTTTTTTACAATTTCAATTTTCATTGTATTTCATTTTTCAGTTTATGCAGGTTCGCGTTTATTTCCAGAACATTTCTCCAGACAATCCAAGTCAGTCTTTATTGAATATATATGATATAGTCTTCATTTGAAACTCTTGCATCAAGCACAAATTTCATAAAGAATCTTACAAATTTAAATTTCAGATTTGACAAACTCTGGATAAAAGTGTAAAAGTGCATGACGATTCACCTCAATATTCTGACTTACATTTTCCCAATAGTCTGTAAAACTTCTCAAATTTAAAAACACACAAACAAGTGCGTCCAAACCAGTTTATTTCTCTATTTATTTTTGAGAATCCTAAAGCTCAACTTTCAATATTCGCCTCAAGAATGCACATATCCACACTGTAATCATACGAGACTGTATACACGGCCTAATACTAATGCGTCTCATTTGTCAAAGAGCTGCATTACGTTTGGGTATTACTAAGTGCTGCTGGATTTTCGATTATAAATGAGCACCTTTTAAAAAGATTACAAAACCGACACTAAACGCTTTCTTTGATTAAACACTTGTTTCGTTAAATGCCACGCGCAGCTCGCAAATATAAAAAAAAGTACTTTCTAAATACCAAAAGTGGATGCAGACAAGGGGGCTGCTCCAAAGAACGCATAGATTTCTCGGTCCCTTTGTGGTAAAGTGCTGACCTCGGACCGTTTTCGCCAATATCAAAACATTGGCTCAGCGTTTTATGTGAAGAATGCAACACAAACACTATCCAAGGCTGGAACCGCAGGTTATCGGACATTAACGCGCCCAATCTCTCAGAATAAGCCCGTTAAGAATTTTCCAACAATTATTTTTTATGTCGCTATGATTTTTATGTTGAAAATTATTGAAATTCAAAACCAACGCTAAAAGCAGATATAGTTTGGATTTGCAGTGCAGTTTTTGTATGAATTTGAATGTTTTAAAACCAGCTGTGACAAAAAATAAGCTAAGAAATTTCATTTTTACTTCTGAAAATTTCATAACTACACAATTTGCTGTAAACAGTAAAAAAATTAAAAGGATTTATGGGAAGTTAGGGCTTTAACCACGTCGTATCTGGGGTTTTTAGAGCTAATTTTCACATTTTTATTTTAAGTTTGAAGATTTTCACACTTCATCATTTGCGATTTCAAACATATTTTTTTGATTTTGATACTAGTTTTAGTATCGATTAGAATCTGATTTCCGGCTTAATAATTGAATCTTTTCGCTGAAATTTTCACTGTATAATTATCAACATTTGGAGATTAAGAATTTTTATCTTTTTATCTTTTCTAACACTCTTCGTTTTTTTGATTATATTAGTGGATTTCTGTGTAAATGCAACATTTTGAGCATTTAACGCAATCAAAATCTATAATATGTAGTGTTTAATTGTTAATAATCGCTATGGCAACAGTCCTAACCCATAGATATAAAACTTCCAGTTCACAAACATAATCAGAGCTGCTGAAAAAAGCCACTGTTTTGTTCATTTCGTTCGTTTCTTTTTTCCTTCAGTGCCATTAACTCCAGCTGCAGGTTGGTGCGGTATTTACGGTGTTCCAGGAGCATCTCGCGCGGTTGGGAGAGATTTGTTTGACTAGATGGTTCCCACTAGGGGTCTCTGTATCCAAGCAGACGCCGTAAGAGCTGCGCCTTCTCCCCCGGGACCAGTGTGTGAAAACAAACGGGGCCAGACTCACCAAGCACCGGGCGAAAGCACACGCACACGCACACGCTCTTCCACGACGCCTTTACGCTCAACTCCACCGGTTATTTTGGGCATGTTTAGTATCACTGTCCACTGTTATTAAGAACTACATGATACTAATTCGAATTTACCAATCATTTGCTTTTCTGTTTTTTATTTTCTCTTCGGTTTGGTCAGAATGAAGCTGCAAAATCTTGTTACTTGAATTAAGAAAGTTTCATCACGATTTCAGCAAAACAATCTACAAATGGAAGATTTTTTGTACACACACATCTTACTACACTTAAAAGAAAAGCAACTCTGTGCACTTAAACTAAAAAAACACAATGCAATGTTGCTTAAATTAAGAAATTATTGTTAGATCATTTCACTTGTCAAGTTGAATCGACTCAAAGTACAATATTCTTCATTTTTAGGTCATTTTTACTTTCTGTTTCTGTTGCTTTTTTACAGTGTGGGTTTATACTTGGACAATTTGTTCGTCTAAAATGTCGACATAATTCCAGAGTTAGTCTATAGAGGCGTCTCTGTTGGGTATAGGAAACATATTGCGCTATAGTAAACCCGGAGCCTGTCAAAAAACCCCACGGGACACAGCTGTGATGTGCGTAATAATCAGTTTACATTTCAACTAGCCATGCTTTTCAAATCCTCCACGAATTAATATTCTCTCTACTAACCATATGACGCTATTTTAAGCTTTTTCTGTCAGGCACGTCTCACTGCCAGGCGCACATTTTCCTGGTATTTTTCTACCGGGAGCAGCATGAGAACGGCCCGTATTTGCATAATGTCTCTGAATTGTGTTTACGCCACGAACGAGCCGGCTGGCTGCTCCGAGCTTCCAACAGCGCGCTGCTCAGAGCCAGTGGGGCTTTGGTTCGCCTCGTCCCCCCGCTGAAGGCCCCTCTCTCCCGGTCTCACATGTGAACGGACCGCGGCTGCCCCAGGGGCCAGAGATTCCGACGTCAGCTTCAATTAACTAAGAACAATTAACGCGCAGATTACCCCTATTCCTCCCCATTGACCGGGAGCGCAGTGACCAACTTTCTGGGACGTGGTTTGATTCGCACAAAGCGGACAACAGAATGAGGGCGCCGCGGGAGGGGGCTGGGGGTCGCGTCAGAACATCCACACACCCCGGTCCTCGATTTTAGGTGAAAGCTACATTTAACACGAACCTAATTTAGCCGAAAATCCACGTGATTCTTACTACGAATCAAAGCCACGGTCACGCCAAACGGGATTTCACGTTTAGTTAAATGCGCTGTTTACGCATTAGCCCCACATCACATTTACTCGCTTTACACAGTTTCTATACAATTATTATGATCCAAATTAGAGTTAATTATCACGTGAGCGCAGGTTAGGGTCATATTTCAATAATTAGCGTGAAGGAGCAGGCCATTTAAACGCAGCTCTAATTAAATGCGCAATTACGCGTAGCCAAGATTTAACCAAAGAAACGTTTTTTTGGCCTTTTTACGCATTTGGCTTGGATCATTTTAACGTGATCTGCTTCCAGTATGTCGCTGGGCAAGATTTACAGAGAGATGTGTATCAAAATATAATAGCATTAACGTGACTTCATGAATAGAGCCTGTTTAGTGTAGGAGCAAACGCAAGATGTTTTTTTGTGTTTTTCTCTGCACTTTTAAGGCTGTAGTGTAGAGAAGATTATTCAAATGTATGAATTGGTTTTACACGTTACACTCCAGCCCCGTCTGTGTGAAGGCTCCTCCGGTCTCACCTGTGTTGTAGCTGGAGATGTCTATTCCCATGGCGGGGCTCTTCCTCTTCCTCGGCCGGCCCTTCTGCGCGGTCCCGGTGCCGTTGAAGTAGGGCAGCGCGAGCCCGCCGCTTTTGGCCGCCAGCTCCGCGAAGTTGATCTGCTGGTGGAAGTCCGCGCCCTGCACCAGCGTCTCGAAGTGCAGGCGGCAGTACACGAGGCTGTCCTTCATGCCGAAGTGGTCTCCCGTGGTCAGGGTCTTGTTGCAGGTGGTGCACGTGAAGCAGCTCAGGTGGTACACCGAGTCCCGCGCGCGCATCACCATCTCCGAGGCTGAGATCCCGAGGTGGCAGCGCGCGCACCTCTGCACGGAGAACCTTCTGGAACAGAGGCACAGTCAGGACAGGCGCACGCGAGAGGACACAGCCAAAACTATAATAGGCCCATATAAACATACTAACATGTCTGCTCCAATGAGTCCTCATGATGGAGACAAGGCAGCACACAACACACACACTGCCTCCTGTGAGCCAGTACAGGTCTGATTGTTACCAGCAGGCCCGAGCATTCCATCTGTTTACAATACTGCAGCCTATTTAGTCCAAAATCAGAACATTTTGGAGATTTGGTCATTTTAAATCAGGACTCAGATTTGGACACAGGACCCGCAAAGCTCCAAACACCACGCCGGATTTGACACGTGACCGTCAGTATTTCTCACATCTTTTTAATTGAGAAAATAGAAAACATTTTTTGGCAAATCGGGGCCGTGCGCAGATGGGTTCGGAGGCGATGGAACGCTTGGTGTTAATGTTGACGTCCAATGCTCTAATTCACAAGCCATTAACACGTGCGTCGTATGTTTTGTGTCCAAATACCTTTGAACGTGCGCGGGACTGTGCGTGAACCCGTGCGTGAACCCGTGCTAAATGTGGGCGTGCACCGCTGACCCGCGCTTATCCTGATTCCGAACCACGCCGGGCCACGCACGACACGCACACTATTCCAACACAAACCGCTGTGAACATTAAGAAGCTTTAACCACGTTTTTACAACATTTTTTATGACTTTTTTTTTTCATTTAGCCAAATCATTGTCAATTGAAAATATTATATTCAAAAATCAGTTGTCTAATAATTTTACCAGATTTAAAACCAATTTCTAAACACAAATTCTGTCGAGAAATACACAATTATTGTAAGTAAAATAAAACAGGGGGTTTAAATGTAGTTTTTCGCCTTAACAATTTATGTATTACTATAAATATTTATGCTATTTATTTAATTCTAATTTCTAGTCACACAATATTCATATTTACAAACTATGAACAGGATTCTCTGTGTTCTTAATAAATATTGAGATGAAGTGTATTAACAGTAAATGCGTAAAATCTTAGGCCTCTTTACGCACGACCGTCATGGCACTGTTCTGCTCTGGAATAATAAAATGTGGAGGTGCTTTGTAAAACCCGAGCTGCACCGTGTTTTTTCTTACCTGTAGTAGTCCTCTTTGCAGTAGATGCTCCCGTCCTTGGCGAAGCACGTGAGCTCGGACTCGAGGGCCAGTTTACATTCACAGCACTTGAGGCAGCGGAGGTGCCACTGTTTGTCCACGGCCAGGAGGTAGTATCGGTCCGAGATCTTGCCCCCGCAGCCGGCGCACAGAGCGGGCTTCTCCGGGCTCATGGAAGGCATGGTCTGCGCCAGAGACACGAGTGAGAGCCGAGCAAAGACCACAGCGCGAGGCCACCTACATCCACCGCGCGCTGATCTATAACTGCACGACTTTTAATCAGTGCCACCGCGTTAAGCTCTGGACACACATCGACTTTTGAATAAATGGACTTGACTAAACATGGGACACTACGAACACTAGGCAGGAAAACACGCCAATCAAACTAGAATCAAATACGCAGTGTGGAATTTAGTTTAAAAACATTAGATTAAGAATAATAATTTTGTTCAAAAACCAGACAGCTCATAAAATGTTAATAATTAAACCTCATTTACCAGCAACGATATAAAACATTGACTGTAATTATTAAAATACATTTACACACTGATATTATAAAGTATTAATTACGCACAGTGTCACGTTACTACACAGTCTAGAAAATACTACAATTGTCCAGGTAATTATTCTGATAGTGACAACTCAAATAAGGAAGAGGATTATTGCTTTAAATATTCAAACATTTTACGCGAGGCCTAATTACCTTGGATTTATTTGTGAAAATTATTTCCAAATGGAACTGGCCTATTTAAAAAGCAAAACTACACGAGATAAACACAATACAAGCATTAAGAATTATCTGGGTATAGCTACAAATATATTTACGAGTAACACTGGGTGTAAAATCGTTGCTGCGTTGACGCACTGGACCAAAACACAGGGCACGGTTCCTCACTCATTTCCCCCGGATCCGAGAGCTCGAGAGCGGCCTGCGTCGGCGCTGCTTACCGTCTCCCTGCCGTTGATCTGCATGCCCTTAGTGAGCCGCGCCTCGCTTTTGGATCGCCTCTCCATCTCCTCCATGATCCCCTGGATGTGGTCCCCGGAGATCCCGTGGAAAAGCATGGCCCTGTCCGCTCCGGTGCTCAACGTGCAACTGCCTCTCTCAGTTTTGCAGCCCACAACTTCCATATAACTGTCACTGTGGACTGCGCCCCTTCTCCCGTCAGCGCGGCCAGAGACGTGCCCCAAAACTCTGCTTCAACTCCGGGCTGCAAACAAAAGCGACACGGAAAAAAGCTACAACATGGAAGTACACACACCAGCGTCCCTGCTTCCCGGATAGAGTCCACCTCCTTCTGGGGGAAAAAAAAACCAAAACAGCCGCAGTAGTCCGAAAACGAGAGGAATAGGCCGGGGAGATGGAGAGAGGAGGGGGCCTCGTTACGCGCTGCCCGTCGCCGCTGATACCGAGTCAAAGTTAGTTTTCTGGGGGAATTCTCTCCCGGTTTCCCGCAGCCAGGTTCCGCGGTGCTTGGAGGTCAGATTGGGACTGGCTGCGTTGGAGATCCGTGCCCTATTTGTGAAGAGAGCAGCTCGGCCCAGTCTGAATAATTTCGGTAGGAGGAGTTCCCTTTCTCTCTCTCTCTCTCTCTCCCTCTCTCTCTCTCCTCTCCTCCGCCTGTGTCATGCCCGCGCTCACTCCATCACCGCTGCTTTCTATTCGGCAACAAAGAACTGTCACTCTGCCCCTCCGAAAACTGGACTACTGCTTTACGCTATTGACATTTTCATTACTTTTATTCCCACATTTATGGCGAGGGACAGACGCAGACAATACGCTCCATGTTTAATAAGAGGCTCTTTTATGGCTACAGTCTGAAATAGAAATGTAATGTTTGTCACAGCTCGTTTTAAGACCAGTTTATTTGTTCAATTTGGGCCTGAGGTTTTCGAATTAACAGGCTCGATTTCAATACGGGTTTAATTTGCTTTTCATTAAATTGTAGTTATTCTAAAATTACGCACCACGTGTATGAACATTGTTTGGGGAGGAGAGGTGATCAGTGATTGGTTAGAGGGCGTGGGCACGTTATATTAAAATTTGAACACGCAGTACAAGTTAAAATCTTATTCTAGGAGCTAATTGTGACGTCTGTTTTGACTAGGATCCCACCTGTGAATGGTTTTAAATAAATGTTAACTAAACCGAGGAATATTCTGTCCAGGTCGAGTAATAAAAATAAGAAATAGACTTTTACGCAATTACGCAAACTCAAATATTGTACAATTATGCACGGTTTTACGCATAAGCAAACCAAAGTTAAAACCTTGTCACAATTAAATCCACACAATGTAAAAGAAATTGCAAATATTTAAAATTGATGTTAGATAAAAATGAGTGATTATTACTATCAAAAATAATCAGTTATGCAAAAATGAAACCGTGCGTAAAAAGCCGTCTTGTCTTTTACGCGTGAAAATTTTACATTTACGCAAAACCAAGCTGTGTTTCTATACAGTAGCCAAATATGTGGAGCTGCATTAAAGAAGCCAGTCAGGTCTAAGGGCCACGAAAAACACACACTGTTCGTAAAAGGGCAGCCTGGAGCCCTGTGTCCGGAGTGTGGTGACAACATGCCCGGGAGAGGAAGCGTTTCTTCGGGCGTTTTTCTTCACAGACGTCGCCCATCCTTAAGAGGTGATCTGGACTAAAACAATAGTGCTACACAGGCTATAACGGGAGATGCCGGTTTGTTCCGCCATTATTAATAGATTTACGGAGGCTCGGGGGGAGTGCAGGTGTGTGGACACTTCATCTCAAGACGTGTTACATTACCCGGCGTGCCCCCCTCCTCTCCTCTCCCCGTCTCCCTCTCTCCTCTCCCCGTCTCCCCTTCCCGCCCCCACCGCGAACTTGTGTTGTTTTAATTGGAGGCCCCATGATAGCAGCCAGCAGCTTCGAAGGGTGTGAGGAGAAGGAGCGAGGGGGGAAATGGATGCTGCTTCTCGGACATAAGCTGTGTGGACGTGTCGGGGGTTACCGCGGTGCCAAAATCACGATCCAACGCGCTCGGGTCAATTGCGTGTCACCAAAGACGTGCCAACAACACTTGGCTTTACCTGTGCCAAGCGGCCTAGAAAAAAAAACAAAAAACAAAAAAACAAGCACGCACGCTTTTCCCCACACAAAGAATCATTCCGCATTTAAATCCTGTGCGTAATTAAAAGTCTAGATTTCTCGGTGTGTATATGAAGACATCGGGAGCGGCGGTAATGCGCGTAACGAAGGGTGTGTGGAGCTGTAGCCCGCAGCGGTGACACTTCGTCTGACTGAAGAGGCTTAACAATGTGTCAGTGCGCGCGCGGGGGCTCAGGGGACACGCGCTTTGTGTTGCAGTTGTTCGATTCCCTTTTACCGGGCTCCAATTAAGACATGAGGAGCGAACAAAACAGGCTGCATTTAATCCGCTAATATTGCACAACATGAAGGTACAGTTTACGTTTTCGCGTCGCTGGCTATCCAACGCGTTTACGGCTGTGCGTAATGGTGAAATGGCGTTTACAGCAGCTAATTTTACCAGTGTCTGTTTAATTATTGATGCCAGTTATTGCTAACAAAAATAGTTTTAGCATATGGCCTCATAACACAAGGCTTTAAATAGGCCAAATTGAACCATATGCATAAAGCTCTTTTATTAGTATCCACAGTTAGGATGACATTTTGTAGAATAATTAAAACTGGAGAAATTCTGTGTGCCAAAATTATAATTATAGTTTGTTTTTAAAGAAATGTACGTCTTTTTCATTTTGCGTAAATCCGTTTTGTTTCGTGCATTCGCCAAACTAAAACAAAACTATACGGATTTATTTTTTTCTCTCGTCCTTTTAACACTACACAGCCGCTCCCATGATACATTATTTAACATTAAGTTGAATCACGTTTCAAGCATGACAAATAAATTAACACGTGTCCGTTTGGGTGTGTGAGGCAAGACGCAGCGCGCACTGAATCACACGCGCTCACCTTGTTTTTTTTTTTTCTTTTTTTTTTTTTTTCGTATAAACTATTCCTCCAGCAGCCCTCGCCTATAGCCGTGTAAAGGTGCATATAGAGCGGTCTTACCTGCGGCAGTGCGCGGCAGATCCGTGAGCAGACTGCGCGTGAGGAGGGAGCACAGCGGCGGCACGGGGAGCGCGGGGAGCAGGGGGAGCGCGGAGGCAGCCTCGCGGTGGATGGGGGGCTGGCTGTTCCTCGTTGGTGAGCTCCACTTGCACTCAGCGCGTCAATTAAAACTCAACACATTTAAATATTCCACCTCGCTCCTCTCCGCGCGCGCACACAGCCCGGCAACGCGCACGCGAGCCGGGTAAGCCGAGCAAGCCGTGCAAGCACCACTGGCCTCCTAAGTTGCGGGTTCAATCCCCAGTCATGTTCGTCTTGCTTAAAGGTAATTAAGAAGCGCGCAAGATCCAGCCAAGTGTCTCCAAATATTGCAAAAACGTGTTGACAATTCTAACTATTGTGACTTTAAATACAAAATCCCCCTGTACAGTATATTGTTGATAAAAGACTCTGCTCCAAACCTTAAAAGAACCTCTAGTGTAAACCGGAGATTTGTTGTTTACAAGAGCCAAATGGCTACCACCGGCTCCCAGGAGGATTGCTTGGTGAGCTCTGGCCTTTGTGAATAAATCACTGCAAAACTCGCAATATATAACGCAATAAAAAGACTCAGCACTGGAAAATAAAATGGAAATACCGGTAACACTTATAATATGTTCATTAATTAGCTTTAATTAGCATGAACAAGTGGTGAATTCATAATGAGCAGATCGTTAATGAAGAAGATTGAGGTTTAGGAATATACCTGGACTCTTTCCTAACACTGAGCTCTTCTTTAAGGAGTTACAAACCCAAATGAGTCTTAATTTAGTCTTTTAATGCTTTTTTAAAACTGTAAATATTGTTATAAAGTGTTACATTTCTACTAAACCAAACCGTAACCACGTTTTTGTTGATTTTACGCACGGACCAGGCAATAGTTAAACCGCAAATTCCCCGTTATTGGCTCGTAACACCCAAACGAAGCGCGCGGGTTCCTTCTGGCCTTTGCATCTGCCAAACGGATCGGTCAAAAAATATGCAAATGTGCGGCCCCACGCGCATCGATCCCCGCGAGTTAATATTTGGTGAAGTTCGACGCCGCGTCCGTCTCACCTGGAATCGAAGCGTCATCCATATTCAACGGGATTTTTTACGCACGCGCCGAATCCTGCCACATCAGCCTTCTGCGTAACGACTCATCTGATACGGGATGTGTAATGGCGCGCGCATGGTAATACTGTTTATGTTTTGGAAATACTTCAGCCTATAATATCTGATTAGGATCATTAACATTGCAAATATATTAATGACGCGAATTCACGATTTAAATCAATACCAGGATATAGTGTTAAATTATAATAAGGCATTGAATTTTTTTAATCAGTATGCAGGTTTAACAATGGTACACCTTGGAACGAATTAACGCTTCATAGATTTAGATACACACCCTGCGTATTTGGCGTTTTTATCCATGATTGTTGTAAAAGTCGTCATGAGGAGGCCCGTATCGTCGCGTATAGAAAGAGAAATTCGTGTCATAATTTCAAACATTAGCTCGACGTTAAGCATATTGTGGGGAAGCCGCGCGCTCGGAGGGAATATAGTGACAATTAATTAGAAGCGCGCGTCCTGCTTGCGTAAGTGATCCCGTGCCACGCTCGTGCTTGGTGCTAACAGTCATTTTGCTGTGCTCTTCCGCTTGGGTTGACATCACAATGTGTCTCATCAATAATGCAGAGGCTCCGAGGTTTGTGCTCTACACACGCGGAGCAATGATACCGGGGCTGCTGTCTCCTCCGCTCCACCAACACCACCACCAACACCACCGCGGCGCCGCCTGTAAACAACCCGGGCCCCTGCCTCCCCTGCCCGGCCGCGGCGCGCACCCCTGCTCCGGCGTAGATTACCACACATCCAGGGTTCAGCTATCGTTTAAGGCGGGCGAGGTCCCCAAAGCGCGGCCCTGGGAGAGGAGAGAAAGAGAGAGAGAGTGAGAGAGAAGCAGAAAAAGGAGAGAAGGAGAGAGAGATGAGGTGGTGGTGGTGGTGTGTGTGTGTGTGTGTGGGGGGGGGGGGGGGGGGGGGTCTCCTGGCTGGATCCAACGTGGAATCTGTGCTTAAACGCTGACAGGATGAAGGAGCGCGCGGGGAGGGAGGGAGAGGAGAGGGAGGAGGGGGAGGAGGAGAGGAGGGAGGGGGCTGGATGGTGGTGGTGGTCACGTGGTGGAGAGAAGGAGAGAAGGAGGAGAGGAGAGGAGAGGGAGGCATCCGGGACGTATTTACTAACATCAGCGCTCTATCTTTCTTGCTTTGGCGGATGAGATAAGCAGCTACCGGAATGAAAACGCGCCAAAAGATACGGCGGAGGGATACAAGAACTGTTTACTTTAGCATTTTTGGACTTTGATACGAAGGATTTACAAGAGTAGAGACGCACCAAAGAGACATTTATTCATATT